GTAACTTTTATTGCTAGTAGAATGTACAGTGAGTTGGAAATCTTTCGAGAAACTTAATAATTGGCCATTATGATCAGACAAACCTAGTTCTAGAGTGGTTATCATATAATATTCGAAGTTGACAAAATAATTGCCCAGGCACCTACTTTTATTGTTTTGTACTTTGGTATTTTCAAAAACAACCTGATTCGTACCTAAAGTTAGGAATAATTGTTTAATTTTGCCTTGGTGTGCCACCATTTTTATGAATAGTACGACAGTAACAACTACCCATCTCAAATCCCTCAATAGTATAACAAGAATTTTCACTTGTACTTAACCAATGTTCCGTAACATAATGATTTTTAATGACTTTTTTAGCATTGATGTCCAGTATTTTGTTTCTAATGCACTGTAAGTATGTTTAAATAAAAAACAGCGATAGCTTCTTCCTTGTGTCCGAGTTCCGAACGACCATAAGGTGTAGATGAGTTGTGATTGTGATCCGAATAATCTTTTGACGGTTTGGTTTCAGTGGTTTGGGTCAGTGATTCATTGGTGAATCTAAAAAATTTGATCTACGTGTATTGTATGAGTTGTCATCTATCTCCTCATTATGATTTTGACGAGGATTATTCAGGAAATGTTGTCCTTTTTGAAAGTTGAACCTAGAGAAGGCGACAGAAGGCGCCAAAAATTCTCCTGGTATACTGTTTCTTTCAGAGATGTATTTATCCCAACTAGAAAGCAGTTGTTGTCCTTAGTTTTATAATATGTTTCAAGTTTCTTTGCAGAAGTTTCCCCAGCATGTGTTCTTGTTTTTTTAGATATGTATTTTTTGACAGTATCTTCTGTTACAGAATCCTTTATACGTGATATGAAGAGCCATATTTTTGTTTTTATTTGAGGATAAGGTAGGTACTATATCTTCCTTCAAAGCCGTGTTCCTCTGCTTCACTAACGGAATTAGTGCCAATACGTTTTCTCCTTCTATGCCTTCTCTTTGCTTCTACAAAGTTGTCAGAGGCATTGTATTTTTTGTCGTCAGTTGTGGAAACAGCTTGAGATATTCCTCCTTCATTTGGAACTTGTGAGTCACTATTAGGTTTTGTTTTTGTTGTGATGGTTTTCATTGTTGACTGTGTTTCCTTTGTACTTGTAAAATTCAAATTTTTATGTGTATTTTGTGTATTGGTTTCGTTATATTTGTTTGATGGGACTGACTTACTGGAAATGTTGCCAGATGTTAATAATCTTATTAAATCTATGTTCGGGTCTTTGAGATCTACAATTAGAAGTTTTGTTTGTTCAGTTTCTTTTTTCATTTCATTTTTCAAATCTTGCATTTCATCTCTCAGATATTGTAAGCTTTCCCCAGTCAGATTCTGAATACATACTGGGTTAGTCATCCATAAGCAATTTTATTAAGTTCTGTTGAAATCCCACTGATTTTTTTATTAAGTGATTTGATTTCGTTTTGTAGTTCTTTTATTTTATCTGTATCAGGTAGGGATTGCTGAACGACAGTTCGGACATAAAAATATTAGGACTCTTGCAGATTTTAGTATTGCAGCTCTATATTCTGTACTTGAAAGCTTTGCACAAGTTTGACATAGTTTACAACCACACTTATCACAAGTTGCTAGAATATCTTCTTTTGTTTCTANTTTATACGGGACCTAGCACTGAACCCTGAGGCACCCCATGTTTGACTTCTGTAGTTTTTGATGTCTTGTTATTTAGTAATACATACCGCTGTCTTTTAGGTACGACTCAATGAGATCTAATGCTGTTCCACAAATTCCATATTTGTGGAATTTTTTCAACGAAATGTCATGAGAAACACTATTAGCACATGCTTTCACTACGGAAAGTGGATTTCCCTCTGATCTCATTCACTATTTTCAAGGCAGTTTTTGAAACATTATTGCTATTTGTGAAGGCATTATAATACACCTCCCTTTTGGTTTTGTTTATTTTTTGCTGAATTATGAGAGTGTTTTGATTCTGGATTCCGTCATTTTATAAATGTAATTTTTTTGTTTCAGTTCATTTATGTTTTTTTTTTCAGATCGTCTGTAAACCGCTTTGATTTATGAATTTTTTTATTTACTTTTTTTTTAGAGGAAATGCTACTTCAATCGTATACGTTATAAAAACTTCAGTAATATTCACGCATACGTGAATTTAGCTAAGATATTTGGATTGTCAGATAAGTAAAATTGTGTCCAATTTATTTTTTTCACATGTTGTATGAACTCTGCTATGCCCATTTGACTTATTTGCCTGAATTTTTTAATTTTTTTGTTGTCCCAAACAGAATTTGTATTTATTTTTACACTGATGAATTGCCTAAAATGATCTGATATGTCCTTTCTGATGATTCCAAAATCAAGATAGCCGTTGAAATTTACGCAGATACATGTGGCGGAGTACCTGGTAACCCTAGTAGGTTCACGTAAGAGAGTTTCAAAATTATGAGATACGAGTATATTATTAGAATATTTTCTTCTTTGCTGTTTGGTTGTTGTTTATATGTTATTTGTAATTAAAGTTTTATGTTAATACACCACGAAACATTGTCAACCACCTTCAAACATTTTCTTCTTTGCTGTTTGAGATAAAATTTACATTAAAATCCCCTAGTAGTACAACCTCAGTATGGTACTTGGTAATGAATTATCAAGAGAATTTGTCAAAATCACCACGATTATATCTAAATATCGTCACTATAACAGTATCTACAATAACTATAGCTGTGAATTCTGCATTTATTTACACACAGAAATGATTAACATCAATTTTTTTGTGATGAAAGATTTTTTTTAGAAATATTGCCACACCTCCATGTTTGAAATTTTGTCTACAGTAAGAATTCACTATTATGTAATCCTCTGAGTATCACTACCAAACAAAGATAATTCCAGCTAGTCATGGAATCTCTCTGCAGTTGATTCAGTGGGATGTCCACTGCGCCACCTGCAGACAGAGCCAGGAAAGAACTCCACAAGCATACTCTGGTGTGGGAGTCGGAATAATGATTAATATTCCGAAAAGGTGCATTATGATATGCTCAAGGTTGCCCCTTTCCTCTCATGCAGACCTACGACTTTGTAGGTACATGACTTGGATTATATTCAAAATTCAATAAATTCATCACAACATAAATATTACAATGGACTTTAGGAAAGTAAGGTTTTATTTCATCGTCACAATGTTGAAAATAAAAAAATTTTGTATCAGGAGAAAGTAAATTCCAGTCCTTTAATCTAGACCCCAAAAGCTCAGCCTGTTATACAAATTCAAATCACGTACTAAATCGTTTAAATTACTTTGTGTCAATAAAGTGCGGTTATTTTGAAGTTTGCGATTCATAACTTGGATCACTATCTTCATATTCCTCACGCGAACAAGTTATGCCGGACTAGAATTCCGACTTTCTGGTCGATTTGGAGGCTTCGGCACAAGCAGTTCGGCACGATGTAGGATAGGTCTGTTGGCCGAAGACGAGTTTGGATACTGGATAGTATGTTTGGACTTCGTTGTAATGCCTTTTATTTTTGTTTGACTCAAATAAAAGCCCAACCTAATAGGAGTCTCACACCCGTTACACAACATTTATCTGGGACCCAGAATTTATCTTGATGCTGCACAGTAAATCCAAAATATTCTTGAAAGCACTTTTCAATTAATGGGGTGAAATTTCGACGCTAGATTGTAAAAGATGATTCTTCATACACATAACAAAATTGTCAGGGTTAGTAGAACACTTTCGTTGCATATTTGCGATGTACCCAACGAAAATAAAATGTATGTTAGCTGATGCAATAGCTATACAGCCGCCTAAATTACGTATATTAGGTCAGAAATGAATATATAGCTGTCACAAAAAACTGGATGTGATCGAAGCAAAATTATTATATATTTATAATGGGGGTAGGCCAACATAAACAAAACACATCACAAAGTTCATGTGACAAAAACACTGTTGATCTGTGTTGTTAGGAGTATAAACTTGGTGTATTTTGGTTTATATGACCTTTGTCTTTTCAAAAAGTCCATTATTTAAGAAGACAATCTCCAAATTTTCGTTTCCTAATCAACTTATCCACTTATGAATATTTCTTGCATAAATAATTTCCTGTATTGTAGTTTCTTAGGAATAAATAAATGTTTATGATCGAAGGATACCCATTACTCTCCGCGCCATTTTCTTGATAACTTTTTTCTCGCTTCTTATATCTTTGCTCAAGGGAAATTTGACCAGCCTATGGATAAGAAACTGAATATCACAACATTTTTAATTTCTACATTATGTTCCATTTCATATGTGAACTGAATATTTGAGATCTGTTGTTGAGAAGAGTATTGCATTTCTGGTGATTGGGTTTTGATTTTGGCATTATATTGAAGTGATGATAATCACTTCAATATAATGGAGTTCTCTCATTCAGTACTTTCCAAAAGAAATGAGTACAAAAATCTGTTTTTCCGTTAACCAGCTATGGCATCCGAACGAACGAACGAACACGTCAATCACCAAAATTTGGTTGATTTTGAACATTCACTTAAAAAGTTATCAAAGAATAACATTTCTCTTTTTGTTACTTTGAGGATCCGTAACTTGGTAATGAAGGATTTTAGGAACAAAAGTTTTATGAAGTACTGATGATATGTAAACCCCATTTATACATTTCCGATAGGAAAAGAGGAATTCCAGGGACACCCTGTATATTCCATAGAGAGTTCTTAAGTTACAATCGACTTCCCAGGAATAGTAAATGTAGAAAATCAATTGATCACTTTAGAAAATGGCCATTTGAATTGCTAAAGTTGAATTACACTAATGCATAGAACCTATTTTATTTATATGGATTTATTTATATCATTTTCACCCTGCTCGGTATTAAATGAACATTGGATTTATGATTACTTTCAGTTTCTTTTTTTATAACAAGATTTTCATAATAAAGTACCGGCCAGTTTCATTCTATATTTTTACATTATATGATATATTCCAGAATTGGACGTACAGGACGTATGGGAAACTTAGGTTTGGCAACTTCATTTTTCAATGACAGAAACAGAAATTTATCCAGTGGTATGTTGGATTTGTTGATTGAGGCCAAGCAAGAGTATCCAAGTTGGTTAGAAGGTGTTGCTGCAGATGGCAGGATGCCTAGTGCAGGCAGGCGTGGTGGCAAGGGAAGGTACGGTGGCAGCGGAGGAGGAGGAAGCTTTGGGAGCAGAGATTACCGTCAACAATCTGGAGGAGGAATGCAGAGAAACCAAAGAACCAGCGGAGGAGGAGGCAATTATGGCAGTAATGGATATGGAAATGGAGGTGAGGAGAAATAAAATACAGTCACTAGGGTTAAGGGTTAAGGAAAATAAATTTCAATTGTTATTCATCTGCTGGGCTAAGAATTCATTTCACGATATACTGCTTAAGGGTTGAAAATTTGCTCAACTTTCAAACACTTTTATGATATTTGATATTATCTATGGGGATAATATCCCAGAGTTGTCAGTCTTACAAATTCGCAGAATTTCAAAAGAAATACTAGTCAATTTCCATCTTTTGAATAAAATAAAAATTGGATTATTTATTGAAACAAAAGTTATATCAAATATTTATTTTTTATTGAGTCCTTTTTGGACATTAATTATATGACAATTAAGTGCTCATTTTTTAGAATTACTCATACGGCAAAAAATATGCAAAAGATTTGGCAATGCTGTAATCCTCAAGGCAGGTTGAGCAACAATAGACTCTACTGATAACATTTTCACAGAATCGTAGGTTTCATTGCTTGAAGGAATTATAATTGTGTGTAATAATTGTTTTCAATTTCATATGTAAACTTGATACTAGATAACCTGTTGTTAGGAATCGACACAAGATATGCATGTTAAGAAGAATGTTACATTTCTGGTGTTAGGAATACTTCGTTTTTATGGATACAAAATAATCATTTTGCCGAGTCTCTCAATTATATTTCTCAACTCTGTATATATTCATTTCAAATCTTGATAGAATTATGTTTTCATTTTCCAGGAAGCAATTATGGAGGGATTGACAGAGGAAGCAACTTTGGAGGCAATTATGGAAATTCCAACAGTCGTGATGACTGGTGGTAGAATTAGATTAATTCAACATTACATAGAACATTTACTACCCATCTTTAGTGGATCCCCGTATATCAGCATTTCTCTCGTGATATTTTTCCTATTATGTCTCATACAGACATGGACCATGCATTGTATGCGTTGTGTGTTCAACTGAGTCAGGGCATTAGTGAAGGCCACAAGGCAATTATTTCTTTCCTTTTTTTTAATTTCTGTCGGAGCACACTGAACACTAAACTCCTCATCCATTATAACAATAAAGCATAATATTAGGTAAAACTATTTATTATCTATATAGACGTGTTAATTTCCGATAGAAAGTACCATTGACTTGATAAAATAATATGAATCACTTTTGATGTGTGACTTAGATGGGTATGTAATAAATATATGTTGTGTCTTCTGTTTTGTTACCTTGAGGTAGCAAATTATCTTGAATATTATTGTTATTAGTGACAAAAAGGTATGCTACACCTCATTGGGGGTTCATTATAAAAACTTTTTTGCCAAACATTTCAAGGTATTTGAATTATTATTTAACAAAACTTGTGGTAAATGATGAACTTGAAAAGTTCTAACTTCACATTTTTGTAAACGTCAATATATATCTAAGGTATTCAAAATATCTAAAAATTTAAAAACCAATAGTCAGAGTCGTAACACAATTCAGTCTTCACAAAAAAATCATGTTTATGAATTAATAAACTTTCAAATCTCATGCACGGCAAGTTAATAACTAAGTGAATATCGAAAATACTTATGTTGGATTAGAGCTTCTTTCGATACTAACAAGTCCCAAGTATTGGAATGAATGAATTAAGTGAAATACAAGGGCTCAAATAGCGTTGCAGTTACAGCTATTTAGGGCGCTAAGAGTATTCTTTACACGACTGTGATATTTACCGATCTATTGAAATAATCTTACTTGATTATTAAGCTGCACCGAGACGGATAAGAAGCAGTCAGAGCGAATATGTCGCTTATGCGAATAAATCTTAGCGTATTTAATTTATTAAAACTTTGAATTAATAGAAATATGAATAGCAAATAAGGACTAATTATCTCGTTAGAGTGGGCACGAAACTTATTTTTGTGCCTCTTCAGAGTGGTTCTCAATGTTTCCAAAACGAAGTACAGTTAAACATTTTCGATGAATAGCACCAATTTGCAACATTGGGGACCATATACGATTTCTAACTATGCGCTTTCTCCAGGTGTTTTAACTAAATATGTTGAAACAGCATAATCTTTATATGTACATTTCTCTTGTTCTTCGTAGTTTTTATTTATATAAGTTGAGTGATAGATTTTTTAATGATTGAATAGAGTATTATGCTTTTTTTGTGTTCCATTTTGAAGACTTCTCTGATATACGAAGTGAGTGGTCATTTCTAAAGAATCTCAGATCATGTTTTTCCATCACTTTAACCTCATAACACATAACGTTTAATTAATAAAATTGGTATCATTTAAAACCATGGAAGTCTTGTCTTCTATTGAATATTGATGGTGATGTATACCAATTATCTTTCCATACTATAAGGAAAACTATTTGAAAAGTTTCTAATCTTTTAAACATTTTACGTACATTATGCTCTGTCAATTTTGAACAAAATATGTATAAAGATGTTCTAAGAAATTGACCAACTAGAATTGTTTGTGACTTTTGTTACAAACAAGTTTGTGCTTTCGTAAGCACAAATTTTCATTTTCAGAGTTGTCTTCAATTTGACAGAATATATTGCCTTAAATTAACAATATTGCTAACAATCTGTTTTTCTAAAAAGTAATTTAGGAAACGATTCTTTTTCATTTCAACAAAGAAAATTACTCGATTCAATCATTGTCAACTCCCTGTGATATGGTTAGAAAATAATGTGCCTATTCTAACTGAATGTGCAAGTCACATTCTGAAACACTTGAAAGTTTGATGAAATGATAGAGGAGCTGTGACTGCAACCAAGTGAATTGTTTTTTAAAATGATTCGAATGGCACAAATGTTTTTGCTTCAATGATATCTACCAAAGTTGAAAGGATTCGTGCATATATCGAGTTGTTCCAAGAACGGACTGTGTTGAAACAATTGGATTTCTATGATGAAAGAGGTGGCAATAGGCTCCATCCATAACTTGGAATGTGAAGAGCGCATTAAGATTTTAATGCATTTACACATTTGTTCTGTTAGAAGTGCTTCTACAGCATTTGTAAATTAATAAAAATATTAAAATTTCTCATATATTTTTATTTCAGTATTTCCCTCTTCTTGACATTTTCAATGATTCGATAAAACAGAATTATTATAAGTAATCAAATTGCCTTGAAAAATACTATTTATCAAATGTTCTCAAGTATATCATGACAATGTCATAAATTATCGTAACTGTCAACTACTGTCTGTTCTGTTTTAAAATCTGTTTTTCCGTTAATCAGCTGTCACCCCCATACGAACGACAACTCTCAGAAGTTGAGAAACTTGTGCGAGCTAAGGACTAACGAGGTCTTACCTTTTAACGTGTGATTCCTAACACGGTTGCATAATCATCCCAACTTCAACCAGACCAATTCTCTCGAGAAAAATATCTGGTCAAGGCAGGAATCGAACCCACGGTCTTCCGATCGTGAGTCGGGCGCACTTCCACCGCGGCCAATTCGAATATTTTTGGAAATGCCGTTTTCCCATCAAGAAAAATGTGATATGTTAGAATCCTACTTGGTTTGACATAAAAATATCGCAAGAGCACTCTAACACTACAGCAATTCGTTCCCCGATCGTGAATTATCAATCGACGTTTTTTTGCTGTACTTCATTGTCGATTCAGGAACAATGAAAAAGTTTGTTTGAAGGTGATTGACAATGTTTCATGATGAATTTCACTAGTTCGGACACTACCATTGTCTACTATATAAAATGATTTGAAATCCCTGAAACAACTAAAAAAGAAGAATTAAAAATGAATAGCTGATTCACATCAGGTTCACATCAGAACCTGCTTCAGATCCGGTAACACTATCCGTAGCAGCCTCACGAAAAACCAGGCCACCAAACGTGGACTGCGATTCCAAGAATTGCATTTACCGGATACCAAGTAGACAATGGAAGTCCGAACTAGTGAAATTCAAAATGAAAAAGTTTTTGAGAAGAGAACTAAAAGACGTTTTGTAATATCTGAAGATACAGACATTGACGTTTTAGCCTACTTTGAGGTGAATCCTAATAATTCCATCAGAGATTCATCTAGAAAAATAGCTGTCCCACCGTCTGTTATTCAATGAATTCTGAAGAAACATAAGACGTCTCCCTATAAGTTGAAACCAGTGCAAACACTAGAACCTGGTGACCCTGAGAAACGATTGGGGGTTTTGTCGGTGGTTTATGAATAAATATAGACAAGATCCAAACTTCTATAGAAATATTATATGGAGCGATGAGGCTAATTTTTTAAATCGTGCGATGTATAATAGAAGTTATTTTCATTATTGGAATAGACTTAATCCATCTGCAAAGACGATTTAGTATTAATGTTTGGTGTGGTATTTAGACGCAGAATTATCAGTCTATTTTTCTACCATGGTTCTTTGAACGGAAGCCGTTACATTAATTTATTAACAAGAGTGTTGAAAGGGTTTTTCGATGATCTTGATCAGTAGGCTCGTCAGATGATCTATTTTCAGCAGGATGGATCACCAGCACATAATTTCGGTAGCATAAAAATAATGTTGCGAGTCTGTTTTTGAAACAGATGGATTGTTACAAATGATCCTGTTAAGTGGCCCCTTTCGTTCATCTGACAAGACACCTCTAGATTTTTATTTTGGGGATTTCTTAAAAATGAGTTATACAAAATAAAAAGATTAACTGAAAAATTATATTGAAAGTATAATTAATAGGATTGATGGCCGAATTCTGTTGAAAGCAACACTTAGTATCAAGAGAAGGGCCCAAATATAAGTTCAACAAGAAGGTGGGGTTTTTGAATATTTACTCGATATTTTATAGCTCTTTATTCGCCAAAACAAAGAAATTTTTGTACTAGTGAAAGAAATGAATATTTCCATGTAAGTCGCTCATTCTCAACTTTAGGAAGAAAGGTGATAGCTTTTTTGTTGGGAATGTGATTATGACTGTCAATTTTTTTTTGTTTTCGGCATCGAGAAGGACATCAAAAATGCTACCAGTTTGCCCGAAGTTGGCAATTGTTCCCAAATTTATTTGGAACACCCTGTATAAGGTATTTTATTGTTTCTGCGTTCATTTGTCACCTATAGAAAAAGTTTGGTGAATATTAGAAGTTCGGACCTCCATTGTCTTAATGAATTTGAAATCTATAAGAAAGAATGAAACAGAAAAAATGAATTAATGAAATATTGAAAATACCTGGACCAAAATATTCGGATAAGTTGGTTCAAAAATATAAAAATGATTGTTGAGAAAACAAATTATTGTTACTTGAAATGAGAATGGATTAAACAATGAGAGAAATAATAGGTATGTTAACCATGTTAAATAAAATAACATCACACGACACATACATACAGTGTGTAACAACGACAACTTAACAGAGCCGTATTTTAATATAAAAAGTAAGATTTTTGAAAA